ATTCTTTTCGCCCCCTCCCCTAAAAGACACGGACTCGAGTCTGTTAGGTAGAGGGGCCTTTTTCATTGTCTTATTTCTCAGAAGGTAGATTTTAGTGAAGTAAATGCATTTATGTAAGCGTTTTGATGATTTTGATTAAATGGCTAAAATGGGACGGAACTGTCTGTTTTGAAAGGCATGGTTACAATGAAGCGACACCTCGTAGAGAGGTTGGGGCGCGGACAAAAATCAAAAGTAACTCCGCACTGGTGATCATTAAAAATGCACATGATTCATGTTTCCTGTTCACAAGTAAGAGAACGAATAAAGGGCAGCTTGAACCTCAGACAAGTCAAAATGCTCACTAATTTTTTCTTCTAGGTAGACATTGTATCTTATGCTACAGTCAAATGCACACTAAACTAGGAGGCACATGAAATATTGTGTAAATTGGGATTTTTCTAGAAGACTTCATTTATACCCTAAATTTGAGGCGTGCGTCATGCGTTACAGTAAATAAGACTAACAAGAAACACAAAGTTATGCTCGTATAGAAATTATTAAGCTCGACCAAGGCGTGTCCGCTTCTGTCGAAAAAGTATCATTTTCTGGGAACATATGACATCTGCTTACCCCACAAAAACAGTGGAGCATAAGTAAGGGCCACTTAATAGGCAAACGGTTTTCGTTGCCTTCACAGCTAATATGTAGAAGGGGACTTGCTTGATTCTATCCGAGGCATGGAAAAATGATGGACAACCATTTTCGCAGGTGAACTCAAATGAGGCTGTGATATAAATGCAATATGTGAAAAAAGGCGGCACAGTATCATCAGTTGTGCATTTGTAGGACCACAAGGTGCACTACCAAGTCATCCTGTCCGACTTGAAAATCTCACGGTTTAATATTATGGGCAAGGGAACGCTATAGGAAAGCAAATAATAACTCTAGATGAGTTTTGAGAAATAGCTTTTCTGATAGAAATGAGTTGCTTAGATGAGTCTGGCGAATTTTGAAGAAAACCCAGTAATCATTATTTTGTGGACAATAAATGATTGATATGAAATTGACCTAATGAGGAGGAAAATAGGCAAAATATGGGTGCATTATCGGATGATCTATACCGTGTTTTAAGCTCATTGCAGGTGTAAAATAAATGAAGGGGCAAGAAGATTGCCCCTTGAAAACAGGTAATCTAGGGATAGGAGGCTAGCCAGGCGTCAGACGATCGAGTCCCAATTGAACTCATCTTCATCATCTTCGTAGTCATCTATTCCATTCATCCTGGGTAATTTTGTTCCGTTCCCGCCGTATTCTTCATCGTCATCCTCCTCAATGTCTTTATCAAGACATTCGTCTGCTCCTCGTACCATGTGGCAGTACGCCAGGTCTGGGGCAGGCTGTCGCGTTTGAGCCAAGACTTCGTTAGCCGTTCTGGAGACTGTCCCTAAGCAGGCATAACTGGTATTGCCCATCCGAGCAGAAGAGTCTGAGAATGCACTCGCCTGTGAACGGTTTGATACCACTAGAGGAGGAAGAGAGGCTGAAAGACGCGAAGTCAGAGAAGGCAACGGAGTTGATGCCACCGTAGACATGTTGGAACAGCCGTGACTAAACTCCGAGTGATAGGCTTGCTGATGATTCACTCTACTATTGCAACTAACTGCGATAAGGCCGTTAACTAAAGTAGGCACATTTACAAGATTTGAAGTCATCGTGGCGCCAGCCGAATATGTAGTCTCGATGGGCATATTTAGAATAGCTTCACTGCTGTCTATACTTCGTTTCGTCACTAGTGTTTCTATCCCTGTCTGGCCAGCAGACTGAGGTAGACTGACAGAGGACGAAATACGGTCTGGGGTGGTCAGTATTGGCTGGAAGTAGGATGCTGATAGCAATTGATCACCGTGGTCGTTGGGTTCGGCAAACTCGACGGCTGATATCGATATTGGCCTGGCAGGCTGGAGATTAGTGGTGATCGGTGGAGAAGAGGAGTAGGAGGAAGTCGAAAGTGGGATACCACGAGACACACTGGTATTATGATTAGAGGTGAGGGTCTGCGGTACCAGGAGGCAAGAATTCGAGTTCTGATAGACCAACTCGTAGGATGAGCAGGTTGACGAGGAGATGGTAATCGTGCTGGAGGGAGAAGAAGAGATAGAGGGGCAGGGGTGACAAGCATGGGATTGAGTGGGTCGCAAAAGTGATGAAGCATGTTGTAATTGGCCACTGGTAAGTGGTGAAGTCGGAAGGGGAGGCGACCATTCAGAAGTGGAGCTGGAAGAAATCGCGGCCATTGAAGAGGCGGAGGACGACGGCGACGAAGAGGACAAAGACGAAGAGGAGGGAGAGATAGAGGAAGAGGAGGATGACGAAGTTGGGTGAAGAGGGGAGCCGGCTATAGTTGGGCCAGGGTGAACTGGTCTACCAAAACTGCCTAGTCTGCTGGCCTGGGCTATGCCCTGGCCAGGGCTGGCCACCATATAGTGAACTGAAAAAGAGGGGAAATAGTAAATTATTTTAACAACTGGATAAGATTGCGCAAAAGACCAATCAAGGATACTTTCAATCACTATTTTTGAGCTTAGAAACAGAGGATAAAATCGATCGTGAATTTAGGGAATAATTACTCTTAATATAAATTCATGACAGGCTAATGTCTGCTAAAAGTGGGAGGAAAAGATTTAAGATTTTAATTTTAATTTAGCTTAGCAAAAAACATCTCCGGAGCAGTATCTAGGGGACTGTATACAAGGGCTCTTATTCAAAGGTGTAATAGCCTATTGTGCTCTATCATAATATATTTTCACAGCTTCTACCAGCTTTGCTGAGCTCACCGGCCTAAGGTCTTTGAATTCCACAACATTAGATTATATTTATTTTGACCCTTTTCTTTAATGACCATAGTTACTCCAAACATCTATGCAATTTGTTTCTGTCCGATCATTTATGATAATAAATGTCAATCGATCTGGAGCATCTTTTTCAATGCATACTTTGAAAGTTCAACTGGGATTGGTTCGAACTCGTCGTCACTATTCGAGCAAAAGTAGTTGGACCAATATGAAAGATAATTAGCTAAGTCATTCTGTATATGTATGTCTATACCTTTTTGCTTTTTGGTTATGAGTATATATAAGAGGCAAGATAGTGACGGAAGATATTCTGAACTGAGTGTTAACATAAGACTTTTACAAGAATGTGTTCCAGCTCTGACGATGTCCATCATATGATGGACAGGAGCTCAGCCTGCTTTCATCCGAGGCGAGGGAAAATGTCTCGTGAATTGCGTCAACTTGAAAATCGTATTAAAGCCAAATGGCTTCAGTACAACGGGAATCATCCGTCGTCTTCTGGTGAGATCAACCTATGAATGTCTTCTTCATGCACTAGTATCTACTGATAGTCTCGAAGACTGCTTACCTCGTATCAAAATCATGTTAAGTTGGGGACATTTTTTGCTATGTGTTGGCTCATTGTTCATATTGTGTGATCGCTTACCATTTTTAGGATTACAATTACGGCACAGTACGATATTCATGTAGAGTTAGAATGGCTGGCCTATCTGCTTCCATAAACTGTACATTAAGATAGCCTACCTTGCTGTAGAGTTTGATCCATAAAACCGACAGACTCCTCGGCGCTCTTTTCTACAACCGACTTGGAAGTGCAGCCAGTTACTGCCGCTCTAGGTTCGGCTAGGCCGGGGTTCATAGGCAGTACCATTGGCACCCACCCCGATCCTAGGCTCATCGCTTGGCCCGTCGTTGTCTCCAACAGTACTCTGCAGGGAACAGGCACCCCGCTGGGTCGAACAGACGCTTCGGTTACTTCATAATCGGTCATTCTAGTCTTCTCACTAGTGCAGAGAGCTACAGGATCGTGCTGTTGTAGATGATATTGTTGTGGATTGTGAGTCTGAAGATGCGTTTGTTGCTGTTGCTGGAGCAGATGTTGTTGTGAAACTGTCATATTTGAGCTTCCCTCTAAGGTGATTCTAGTCGCAAGACCTGGTTGAGGCAGACTATCAGGTGGGCAGCAGCAGGCAACTTGGTAGCTGGGAGCTGTCATTTCAGAAATTCGGCCAGAAAAGCAGTCTTGTTGAGGGCTGTTCAAATTCCTCGAATGCGGATTCACCTCAAGCGGGGCAAGGTGTGCCGAGATCGGTGACCTTCCAACAATTGCAGAGTCCAGTGTGGCAGATGGAGGAGTTGTATGAGCGACTATGGAGTTGCTCATGCCAGCGGCAACGGAAGAGGGTATTGCTGAACTCGGCATCGTGGTTGGTATGTCTTGCTGCAAAGAATAATCGGGCCCAGCTAGACTGCGCATGATGGATTCTGAAGCAGAGGTGTCCAGTTCGTCAAATACAGACTCTTCTGGAGCAAAAAGATCAAGTTGATTACTCTGACTTCGCCAACTATTCAGACGTTGAAAGGCTTTCTTCAGACTGTCATTTAAATCAACCAGGTTGCTCATGTTGAGGGCGTCTTCATTAGAAAACGAGTCGGCAGCTCTTAGGCTAGCCATAAGATCTGTGGGTATAGAAAAGAAGCCGTGTTAGAGTCATGTCAGAGTATCGACCATTATAAAAAGTTAATTAATTAAAAGTTTAATCAGGCTAAATCGCTTGAAGCAATTTAAGGACTGACAGTGCAGATTTTTCCTACAATGATAAGTTTTGGTCTTGTGATACTGATGAGGCAAACTAGTATTGGACGGTAGTACTTATTTTCTATGCTGGAATTTCTCGAAAATATCGAGAATAAGGACGACTCACATCTAAAATGAGTAGTGGCGCGGATTTTACTTGCAAATACAAGCTGGCCTTATTGGATGTCATATCTGCCCTGTGAGGCACTGACACGCCTGGCTGTGTGGCAACAGCGGGTGAACACAAAGCGTCCCACCCGGTATTGATTCATCGTGAGGTGCTGATGAGACCTT